AAAAAAAAAAAAAAAAAAAAAAAAAAACCCCACAAAACAACAAAATGACAAACTTTAATTTAAATTAAAATTAATGGAAAATAACAAACTATTAAAATATTAATTCAATTTATATAATAGTATCTCAGTACTAACACTAATATTTTGCTATATTGGAATATAGGCTAATTTTTATTAATTTTTTTTATTTCAGTTGTAGTTTATTTTAGTACACCAAAAAGAAAATGAGTTGAAATTTTTGTTTAATTTAATTTTATTTCTGTTAAATGTTTTACTTTACTTCAAGTAATGAAAGTGTTTTTAGTTATAACGCTGTGACTCACATGTGACTCACCCAAGTAAAGGTTGGGCCACACTTCATCCACATGATCTCTGCTCCTCTTCTCTCCAAACAGTGTTTTCTCCAGTTCTTTAACAGAGGGGTTTCACGGATGCCATCCATCAGACAGACTCATGGATCTCTCTGTGTCTGATCTGACCACGGCTACAGCTTCCACATCTACTGCGTGTCTCTGGTAAGATGTGCATCTCATATCTGCTGCTGTCCAGTTTGAGCGGATACATTTATCTGAAGTGACAGAAGCAGCTGGTCTTTAATGCTAATCTAAAATTAACATTTAGGCAAGCAATGCACTAGTGTTCACCCAGAACACCCAAGTAAGTTTGCATGAACACCCAAAATGAGTTTGCATGAACACCAACCACATTTACTTCAGAAAATGGTGCTTTAAAGAAATGATTACAGTTAATTAAACTAATTAATCAAAGTCAAAGGGGTTCCGCTGACTAATAATGTTGCGAAGCCACGACTTCAAACATGAAACTCATCAGAAACCCAGCAGCGAGGGTGTAATTCCACCTGCTGACCAGCGGATGTCGCTGTGCGCACGGCAGCGGAAGTGACCTCATCTGCAGTGTTTACACACTGAAACACGCTCTTTCACAGCTGTCAGATCGACTGTGCTCGTCTAGCCGGGTCAGGGCGCGATGAGTTACCGCAGATGCCGCGACAGAGTGACATTCAGGAGATTCATCGCGATTCGGAGTGATTAACGTAAGTGAAGCGCAGCAGGCTAACCGCTAGCATGCTAACACACTCTCATGCATCTGAAAAAATCACACTAATACCAGTGATGAATTGAAATTGGCGTATGAATCCATTTTCAGGTCCATTCTTTGTTTTATTCTCATTTTTTATCGCTGTGATAGGTTTATGAGTGGGAAGGAGAAATGTTAGTCATTTAGTGTCTGTTCATTTGCAGATTTAAAGCGGCACACTGCATATATTTATGTCATTTGGTCATATTTAACATTTTGTGTTATGATTATAAGCCGCACACAGACCCTCATTTAATAATCGGGGTCAGCTTCGGTTATAAAAAAAACACAGAACTGTTTTAAAATATTTTTTTCCTCGGAAAAATCTAGTTAATTTAACCTGGTTAAACAACATTTTGTATAAAATGCTTGAGTGTTGAAAGTGTGTAATCGTTGCTGTTTGGCAGGTACCTGGTCCTTTTCCTTATCAACAAGCTTCTCTGTATCGGGTATTGATTAAAGTCCGCAGTGTAAAGAGCTGAGAGATATAATTATACCTAAGGGTGCTTCACTAACAGGCTCACATTACTTTACTGTTGTTTTCTTGTGTCTGATAAGCAGAGTTGGGTGTAACGCGTTACACGGTAACAGTAACGTTACACGCGTTACACAGTAACTCGTTACTGTATTCTATTTACTTTTCCTGGTAATGTAATGCATTGCATTTTATGTAAGTTGATTACGGTTACAAATGTCAATAAAATTACGTTACAAATGCAGAGTTAAGAAAAAATATGAAGTAAAATGCATTTTAAAATCATGTCAGTATGCCCTTTAATAAATCACCGGAGAATGCGAGCTAAAATGCAGACGAGTCGTACAACATTTAGAACCATAACCCTAACGATCAAAAATGACGGAACATTTTAAGTTCTTTTTGCTGTTATCAGGAAAAGTTGCTGTTTTCATACTTATGTAATTTTTCAGTCAATATTAAATTACTGAAAGAACTATGAGTTATTTCGCCTTGCTGCGGGAGGGCGTGGCTATCGATGGGCGTGGCTACGAGTTGGGCGTGGCCACTACTGTGATTATGTTGATGTGCAAAAGTACATATTTAAAAAATCGACTAGGTTTGAGTGAATGACTAGCTTGATTAATTAGTCTTAACTGGAAGGATCCTTTATAATTAGACTTTTATCATTTATAATCAGCCTGTTTCCACCATGGAGAAAAAAAACACTAAATTCCAAGTTTTTATCTCAATTCACACTTTTATTCAGAATTGCGAGATATAAACTCAGAATTATGGATTTTTTTGCTCACAATTTTGAGTTTACATTTTACAATTTTTGTTTCCCCCTCAGAATAAAAAATAAAAAAGGTAATTGTAACTTTTTATCTCACAATTCTGACTTATTTTCTTGCTATTGCAAGTTTATATCTCGCAATTCAGAATTTTGTTCTCATAATTTCGGGTTTATATCTCACAAGTAATATGCAAGTAATAAACTCGCAATTCTGACTTTTTTTTGTCAGAAATGCGAGGGAAAAAAGGCAGAATTGTTAGATATAAACTCAGAATTGTGAGGGGAAAAAGTCAAAATAATGAAAATTGTGAGATAAAAAGTCACAGTTAACTTTTTTTATGCACTATTTTCCTGGAGCCATACATGAACACAAATTATATTATATTATATCTACTTTTATGGTACTTTTCTAAATTCCTTTCCAATTTTGAGTAAAATAAATAGCATTTATTCTGATGGGATTGAAAAAAATAATGCTTATAAGTTATTATCAGCCACTTGACCTGTTCTAGAATGTGAAACAAGATGAATTTGGTTGATAAAATAACACTAGTGACAACTGCAATAGTGCAGCCAGTGACTACAATTCAGTGAAGGTCATTTTCTGACATTTAAATATGATGTTTACTATTTACTTAATTATTTGTTTAAAATATGCAAAGTCTGATACAGACATGCACATGTTGAGACGTGATTTCACACGCATCTCGTATCATCTTGTCACTGTATTGCATGTTAAATGCTGTATTTTAGCTTCTTTTTGGAAAGGTCTCTGTGTTTCATCTGTGAGTGAGACGTCAGCAAAAAAAGACCTGCTTCTGTTCCTGTGGTGTGTTAAAATGAAGTGTTACATGATCGGGTGGAAAGTGTGCGTGTGCTTTCTGAAAGTTTGTGTAAATGTGGTTGTGTTTCTAAGCATTAAGGATCTGTCGCTTCGGAGGAAAGTTATCAGACGTTCAGAGGGAAAAGACAGACACGCTAAGTGTTTTCTGAGAGCTAATGAACCGAGATTCAGAGCAGAACAAGATGTATTCAAAACCTACTGTTTTGAACTCTTTCTATGCCAGCGGTTCTTCACTTTTTCGACTCTTGTTGTCCACAACAATATTTGAAAGGCCGACACTCGTAGTTTCTGACCATTATTTTCAGGATTCTTGAAGTTTTAAGAGCCGAAAGTTTTTCTGGATTCTTTTAAAGCAATGAATTTGCATAACTTTTCCAGTCATCCCTGATTTAAATGAGTACAAATATTTTTACTCACAATCTCTACCTGATTGAAGAGAAAAAAAATAGAAATTGGCATAAAAAGAAATACCCTTAACACTGTAAAAATAATTGTGATCACATAATTCACATTTTATTTTCTTTATTTCTTTAATAAAGAAATGTATTAAAATAATTAACCAATTTCATCTTTTTTTTTTTAGTAATATGAGATTCAACTCAACTTTTTTAGTCAATTTAATATAATTTAAGTTGAAATTACTTGTTCAGCCAATTTGATTACTTGAAAATTTAAGGAAGCCACTGAACTTCGGTTTTTAGGTTAAAGTAAGTGGATTTTTAATTTTTTTTGACAGTGTTGTCATTTTAAGATTGTATTAATGTACATGACTTTACAGGTCTAGAAATCACACTTTTAAAACTAAACTACCTCATATTATATCATATCATAAGTTTTTCCAAGACTGTAGGAATAATGGTTATATAATGGTTATTCAAAGACAAAACATGTATTAAGGGGGTGAATTCAAATAAGAAATATCGTCTTATACTGTCTTATATTAAATCATTTTAAGTCTTGAGAGCCACCCTGAGAATCACTGCTTTGCCAAATTACTTTTTAAAATATATGTATTTATTTTTTTTAGCAGTTATGAGCAATTACAATATTTCTTCCATACTACGTAATTGGCCTGTAGTTTGTCAATGCAAAGTCTTGTCTTCATGAAATTGTTCACTTGAAAAATGAACAAAATGACTTGGACCAGATGACACAGTAGCGACACATATCATAATTTATCTCAGGCTGCATTATAACTATTTCCTAATTGGGAATATGATCAAAGATTGTAAATGTGGAGGTGTTCAATTTTATTTTTACTCGGCATAAACTAACAAGATGAATGAAATTACTTGTTTTTGGCCAAACAAGCTTCAGACATCAAGTCAGTAAAATGATCCGATCCTAATAAACAGCAGGTTTTTCAAAGCTTTCAAAGCTAATATATAAATAATATAAAGTTTTTGCCAGCAATTGGCATTTGTGGCTGCATTTTGTGATTTGATTTTCATCTTGTGCATTTAAGAGGCAGTTTTTCACGTCTAACAGATACTGCTTACTCAGACTGATCCTTAATGAACGAGTCAGATAATCGAAGCTCAATTCAAGCAGCACAGCTGGGATTCAGTGCTTCAAGTCCGTAGTAGTGCACAATCTTGAGATCTTATGCTGTGAATGTGGCCTGTGTTACTGGAGTATCAGCAGATGTGCTAGTTTACATCTGGATGTGATGTGCAAGGATGAAGAATAGTTCATTATAATTTACATCTTTCACACAAAAGTTGTCCCTAGTGCCTTTAGATATCATAGTCGTCATGTTTCTGTTTTCTGTCTTCAGTTCCTGTGAGAGGATGCGCGAGCGAGAGATGGCCGGTAACGTACATCACTGGACCCCGAAGCACGTGGGCCGCTGGCTGCGTGAAGAGGGCTTCTGCGATTATGTGGACCTGCTGTGTAACAAACACCGTCTGGACGGAACCAGCCTGCTGACGCTGAGCGAGTACGACCTGCGCTCTCCTCCGCTGGAGCTCAAGGTCCTGGGAGACATTAAACGGCTGATGGTTTCTCTCAGGAAGCTGCAGAAGCAGAACGCCGATGTGTTAGAGGAGCTCGGTCTGTCCTACGACGGACACTCGTCTCAGAGCAGCACAGGTTTGTGTAATCTCGGTTTTTAACAGCATTTACATTGGACAGCAGGACTTGAGCTTAACACTAGTAGAGGTCTGCAAGCGGGGCCCATTCGGGATGGGCTCGGGCCATTTTTTTTATTTTTTTACAGTTCGGGCTCGGGTCGGCTTGGGCTCATTTAGCTTTTCTCCTTTTATTGTGCCCATATACGCGCAGAGCACACATAGGCAACCCTGGACCACAAAACCAGTCTTAAGTCGCTGGGGTATATTTGTAGCAATAGCCAAAAAAACATTGCATGGGCCAAAATTATTGATTTTTCTTTTATGCCAAAAAACATTAGGACATTAAGTAAAGATCATGTTCAATGAAGATATTTTGTAAATTTCTTACTGTAAATATATCAAAACTTAATTTTTGATTAGTAACATGCATTGCTAATTTGTAGCAATAGCCAAAAATACATTGTATGGGTCAAAATTATTGATTTTTCTTTTATGCCAAAAATCATTAGGATATTAAGTAAAGATCATGTTCCATGAAGATATTTTGTAAATTTCCTACCGTAAATATATTAAAACTTCATTTTTGATTAGTAATATGCATTGCTAAGAACTTCATTTGAACAACTTTAAAAGCGATTTTCTCAATATTTAGATTTTTTTTTTGCACCCTCAGATTCCAGATTTTCAAATAGTTGTATCTCAGCCAAATATTGTCCTATCCTAACAAACCATACATCAATGGAAAGCTTATTTATTCAGCTTTCAGATGATATATAAAACTCAATTTCGAAAAATTTACCCTTATGACTGGTTATGTGGTCCAGGGTCACATATTATAAATAATTTACATCGCCTACGCATAAAGTCCATAAGTTACGCAAAGGTTTGAATATCAATTCAAATTGTGGGCGTACTCAGTAACGAGCTATGATTTAAAAGTAACGAAGTAGATTAGCCTATTTTGCTTAATTTGTACTTAAGTACAAGTAAAAGTACAGCTTTAAAAATATAGTCAAAAAAGTACAAGTATCCGAAAAAACTACTTAATTACAGTAACGTGAGTAGTTGCAATTCGTTACCTCCACCACTGCGTATTTTAAGTTGTTTCCAATGCAAGTGATCGCGCCGGCGCCTCATGTCCTGCAAAGTGCGCTTTAGCTCCTCTCCGCACAAACAATTAGATATGCGTCTAATAGTGCGCATTTATATAGGTTAAACATTTAAACTAACATTGTGATATGCTTGAACTGTTTTATATCTATAGATTTTATTTTAAGCAAGTTTTGATGATTTGAGAAGGCTAAATTGATCAAACATAGGCTATAATCAACTTACTGTCTGCCGCTGGCCGCTTGGTTGTTATTTCAAAAAACAAAAACTTACATTTAACAAACAAAAAATGCTCCTAAAAGCTCTAAATTAACTTAATAAAAAAACTCAACGAAATATAATCACTTTACCATTACATACAAAACTGAACTATTTTAATAGCTGAAACAGTAGTAAGCTGTTTTGGGAGAAGGGAAAAAAAAGACGGGCTCGGGTCGGACTCGGGCCAAGAATTCTGAAGAGCTGTCGGACAAGGGCCTGAGCATCTCGGTCCAGGGCCGGGCTAGGGCCTATATTTGAGGCCCGTGCAGGGCTCTAAACACTAGGGATGTAACGATGCACCCCTAGCTGAAAATCTATAAAAATATGTGACGATTCAATTCGAGTGAGATGCTAAACGAATCACGAGACAATGGGGGGTTAGGGGTTTGAGTGAATGTGTCTCTGAGGGGAACTGATGGTATTTTCTGTTCATTTTGCCACTGTATTATGCTAATTAAAGTAGTGTTTATAAGCGCAGCTGCTGCTCCATAAGCGCCACCTGCTGGCAGAGAGTGAATATACGGCTCAATGAGACCGTCTGCTGTTTTTGTTTCGTGCAGATGTTTTATGTAGTATGGTTTCACAAAACTAAAGTCAGACATTCAGTTTTTCCTTAAAATTTCGAAATTATGCTACTAATTTAAATCAAAAACTGCTCATGCTGCATGTTTGCAGCATCTTTGTTAGGATCGTGATTCAAATGCAGTGGTTGCATTAAATGGAAAGAGCTCAGGCAAAGCCTTAGTTTGTTTATGAAGAGATTTCTTTTATTTGCCTCATTTAGTTATTTGATTTGCCGCTTAAAAATTTCAATTTTGTTATTTGACGTATTTCAATTTCACAAAGAAATGTGCAGCATTTTGTCTGGGAAATAATAAAAGGACACCTTTTTATGTGTAATTTGTCTTAAATCTTATTTGTTTAAAAAAATGTGAGAAAATGGTATCGTGAAATCCGTATCATGGCTCATGTCACATTGTGAGTTGAGTGAATCGTTACATACCTAAAATAAACTGATAGGATTGAAGAAAATATCAGCAATTTTAGCTGTAAAACCAGATAAATTTGGTTGATAAAGTGACACCACAGTGACGATTTCAGTAGTGCAGCAGTTTACTTTATTTCTGACATATAAGTATCTTGTTTACTATTTACGTGCTTCTTTGTTTAAAATATGCAAAGCAAAGTCAGATACAGATATAGTTTGTGTATTTCATGTTGTTCAGGTGGAGTGGACTGGTTGTAAAACTGCCCATTTCTTTGTAAACAGCATTTACATAACATAGGATGACTTTAAGTGGACTTTCAAGTGCTTTACTATACAAACAGCTAAAGTACAGCACAATAATTGAACCATTAGTGCTAAAAATGTCAAAAAGGCACAAAAAAATACTATAAAGGTATTATGAAAAGCAGTCCATATTATTTATGCACTATTTAAGTCTTCTGAAGCCATATAAGAACTACTTTTATGGTATTTACAAAGCTCATTCTCAATTTGAGTAAAATAAGTAGTAAATAGGCTAAAGTACAGCACAATAATTGAACCATTAGTGCTAAAAATGTCAAAAGACACAAAAAAATACTATAAAGGTATTATGAAAAGCAGTCCATATTATTTATGCACTATTTAAGTCTTCTGAAGCCATATAAGAACTACTTTTATGGTATTTACAAAGCTCATTCTCAATTTGAGTAAAATAAGTAGTAAATAAATTAATTCCGATGGGATTGAAGAAAACTCTAGCTGTAAAAACGAGATAAAGTTACACCAGTGACGATTGCAAGAGTGCTCCGTTCAGCTTTACTTCATTGAAGGTCATTTACATCTCTTGTTTTCTGTTTACTATGCAGAGTAATGTCTGATTGAGCTGTAGTGTGTATGTTTGGCGTTGTTCAGGTGGAGTGGACTGGCTGTGTAACAGTGAGTCTGCGCGGGATTGCGATACCGTGTTGGACACGTTGAGCAGTGATCAGTATCATCAGTACAACAACGGCAAATACAAGCAGCAGCCGCGGAGACTGGACCCCGAGTACTGGAAGACCATCATGAGCTCCGTCTACGTGGTCTTCGTCTTCGGCTTCACGTCCTTCGTCATGGTGATCGTCCACGAGCGAGTGCCAGACATGAGGACGTACCCGCCGCTGCCTGACATCTTCCTGGACAGGTGAGCCTTTGCTGAGGTGATCTGATCAAAAAATACAGTAAAAACCGTAATATTGTGAAATCTTATTTCAATTTGAATTAGCTGTTTTCTATGTGAATATCTGATAAACTGTAATTTAATCAAAGCTGAATTTTCAGCATCATTACTCCAGTCTTCAGTGTCACATGATCTTCAGAAATCATTCTAATATGCTGATTTGCTGCTCAAGGAACATTTCTGATTATTATCAATGTTGAAAACAGTTGTGCTGCCCAATATTTTTGTGGAAACTGTGATACATTTTATTTTTCAGGATTCACAGATGAACAGAAAGTTCAAAAGAACAGCGTTTATTTGAAATAGAAATCTTTTGTAAGATTATAAATGTCTTTACTGTGGGGGTGTGCGATATATATCGTCTACGATTGATATCGTAATAGTTGTTTTAACAATGTGCGATTTTACTTTTTATTACGCATTTAGAGTGCGTTCTTTCACTGCATGATTCAGTCTGTGAAAATGCATTAAGAACGATCATAAAATTCAAGATACGGGGGCAGAAAATGTATATATTTATATAATTTCATGTAGTTAATATCACACGAAAAGTGCCGTTTTTTTCCTCCAAAGATCAGCATGATTACAAATGTGATCTTGATTTTATACAACAGTTCAATAAACAAGAAGTTAATATTAAGAGACGTACGTTTTAGACACCACATTGCCTGTTTTTGATTTCGCCAACAAAAATAATTCCAAACAAAGCCGCAGCACTGTTTTGTGTCTCTGAGCAACATGACGGTGTTTTGTTCCTGAATGAATCAACCATTTAAATAATTCGGTTCAATCGCAATGACTCACTTATTAACAGTGACTTGCTGCCACCTACTGGTTTTAATTTCACATTTAAAGTATCTTTTCATTTTTTACATTATTTCAAATATCAGTATTCAGTGTTTTATGTTTAATATATCAAAACATTATTTATGCATTTGTAACCACAGGTTAAATCATTCCATGTCCCTCTGCGCTGCATTAAACAGTGTGTAAGCACATCGAAATGCCACTTCAGATGCAGCTTCTGTGTTTCCTCTGCATTGCAAAGATGAATT